GAGGTGATTTGTCCCACGCCATTCATCGACTGTAATAACCCCTTCTTCTGATCATTCTCATGCTTCTAGCATTTGATCTGTTGCTTCTTCAATAAGACTTTTGATGTCAGATAGTGCCCTGTAATAGACTGGCCAATCGACTTCCACTGCAGTATTTCAACACAAGGTCTGGTGACGATGCTGATTGATCTAAGCTCTCATGCAGACCTTCAATGCATAGATATCTCTATCACCAAGCTATATGGATACTTCGTGATCATATGTGCTCATTCCACGGTGAAGAGTAAGTCTGAAGCTTGGGAACGTACGGAGTCATTACGACCAGTTCCGCGGTGTTCCGACTGGTTTCGNTTAGGGATTGGCAACCTCTGCCAATCTTCGGAGATTAACCTTAGCAGCTGTGTAAACTTGGCAGATACCCTTCTATGCCAGGCTGCTATACTGATGTCAGAGTACTGTAGTCTGGTGCCCGTCGTTAACCTGAATCGTTGTCCCAGGTGATTCGTGCTGCACCATTCATCTACTGTAATAACCCCTTCTTCCGAGCATTCCCATGCTTCTAGCATCTGTGCTATCACTTCTTCTGTAAGATCTTCAACATCCGATGGCGCCCTGTAATATACTGGCCAATCGACTTCCACTGCAGTGTATTAGCACAAGGTCTGGTGACGATGCTGATTGATCCAAGCTCTCATGCCAACCTTCAATGCATAGATATCCCTATCTCNAACGTAGACGATCCCGCACCCCCTACTCCCACATGATCAACGGCTTCATTACCAGAGCCATCAACATCGACAGGCCAGATGTCAGCCCCACCCATAGCACCTTTGTTGTCTTTCACTGAACCACGAGAGCCTGCCCCACTCGTACCAACAGACGAAGAAGAGGAGGACGAAGAAGGAGAGCAAGAGATGTCACTGTCGAAGGAATCGATAACAGACCTCGCTACAGCGATCGCGCTAGCACTCCAGGCAGCAGGAGAAGGCACAGGCCAAGGATCGAAGTCGAACAAAGTTCATGTCGCCAAGCCCCAAGACTTCGACGGGGAGCACGGATATGTCGACTTCAAACGAAAGCTGCGCCTATATGTTTATGTGTCAGAATCGAAGTTTAGGACGAGCAAAGCAAAGATCATGTTCGCTCTGTCATATATGAAGAGTGGTGCTGCTGCGAGCTGGGCGGAAAGCTACACAAGCGGTGCAATTGACGAACATGGTAGGATAGCATTCAAGGACACTTGGGATGCTTTCCTAAAGAAGCTTGACACCTCGTTCGACGACCTAGCCCGTTCTCAGAAAGCATTTGAACGACTCGATGCAATGTATCAAGGCGATCTCAATGCAGATGAATTCTTCAACAAGTTTGACATTTGTCGAGTAGATGCCAGACTGGCTACGGAGGCTCATGACGAATGGCTGATGAGTCGCCTCAAGAGGGCTCTAAACCCGAAGGTGGTTGAAGGGATCATGCGCCTACCTAACGAGCCAACAACGTATGAGGAATTCAAGAAGGCTGCAGTCAAGGTTGACAGGGTCGAGCGCCAGATCAGAGATCTGATGGCCGAACACCGGAGGAAGATGATCAGCTCAATGATCATGAAACTAGCGCCGCCACCATTGAAACGTCCAACACCACCTCAACAAGCAGCTTGCCCCTTTGCTCCACCCGCCCAAGATCGTCATGATGCCACTAGAGTAATGTATGGAGGCTTAGGTCAGCCGATAGACTTGATGATGAACCAGGCGCGCTGTACACATGCTTGCTATAAGTGTGGTCAGGTAGGCCACTACATCCGGGAATGCCCCCGAGGCCATGAAGTGATACGTGCAATTATTGCGGCCTTTGTTCCAGCAGATAGAAAAGCGCTNAACCTATACAGTGCTCGCATGCTTTGTCGAGGTATTGTTAATTTTCACGGAGCTCCAGGATGTTTGTGATAGAATTCTTGAATTGATTCCTGTGCATTATCCTTGACGTCAGATTCCGGCTGCCATGTCGCTTCCTCATATCCAACCCACTTGACCAAGAACTGGAGCCTTCCTCGATGTAGACGTGAGTCGAGTATTTCTTCAACCTCGTACTCTTCTTGTTCGTCAATGATCACTGGCGGGGGTGGAGGCGGCTTCTTTTGTGATTCGAAAGACGGTTGAACGGCCGGTTTGAGCAGGATCTCGTTAAAGACGGGATAAACGTGTTTCCATGTCTTTGGGATCTTTAGCTTATACGCGCTCGCGCCCACCTTTTCTATAACCTCGAATGGGCCAAACCATTTGTCGTCCATCTTCTTCGTTGGTCGGATCGTCTTAATGTTTCNATAGTTGAACAGCCGGTTTGAGCAGGATCTCGTTAAAGATGGGATAAACGTGTTTCCATGTCTTTGGGATCTTTAGCTTATACGCGCTCGCGCCCACCTTTTCCATAACCTCGAATGGGCCAAACCATTTGTCGTCCATCTTCTTCGTCGGTCAGATCATCTTAATGTTTCGACCACCCAAGAAGACCTTTTGTCCCATCTCATAGACTACCGACTTTCTAGCGTGATGATCGTAAAAGTGCTTCATGTCTTCATTGGCCTGAGTCAGATTGGCCTGAGCGAGTTCATGTATTCCCTTGACATGTTTGGCAAACTCTTCTGCCGATAGATTGGACGAAGTCATTCCAACGCCCATAAAGCCTGAAGGGTGTTGTCCCATGTTGATGAAGAAGGGTGATAGTTTGGTCACCGAATGTTTACGATTATTGTGCGCAAACTCTGCGAGAGCTAACCAGTCTGCCCAGTCTGATTGTCGATGATTGACGTATAGTCGAAGGTACTGTTCGAGTTCTTGATTAACTCATTCTGTCTGCCCATCTGTTTGAGGGTGGTACGCCGTTGATGGATTGCCTTCGATGTGAAGAAGTTTGTACAACTCCCTCATCATCTTCGCATCGAACTGTACTCCTTGGTCATGGATGATCTTTCAAGGTAGGCCGTGCAACCGGAAGACATGGTCCCTATAAATCCTGGCCATTCCTTCTGCCATCAATTTTATCATTGTTGGTATCATATGGATTTGTTTGCTAAAGCGATTGACTATCACACAAATTGCGTTAAATCCATTTGACTCCGGCAACTCTCCAATCAGGTCAACCGTGACAACCTGCCAGGGCACCTCCGGTATCTCGTTAGGGTGCAAAACCTTTGCCCTTGTCATTCTGAGGGCCTTCATTTGCTGACAATGGTCGCATCCTTGCACGTAATTTCTGATGTCGATGTACATGTTAGGCCACCAGAAACTCCTGTTCGCTAGCGCAATGGTTTTGTTTGCTCCTGGGTGGCCTGCTAATGTTGAGTTGTGACACTCCCTCATCACTTCCTCCCTCACGCTCGTCAGTATGAAAATGTTTTGAAATTTCTTTGTCTTTGTCGTCGAGAGCTTAACTGTCACCTCCTTTTTCCACAACTCATCTATGAACACTAAGTTCGCCGGTCTCTCTTCCTCATTCGCCTCCACCTNCGAGTCGTGACACTCCCTCATCACTTCCTCTCTCACGCTCGTCAGTATGAAAATGTTTTGAAATTTCTTTGTCTTCATCGTCAAGAGCTTAACCGTCACCTCCTTTTTCCACAACTCATCTATGAACACTAAGTTCGCCGGTCTCTCTTCCTCATTCGCCTCCGCCTGTGCCTTTCAAATCTTTTTAATTAGCACGTCCCTTGACATCTCCACCGTTCCTCTGACCAGCCATTCATCTCTAATGAATGTGATGTCTTCATTATCCCGTTNTTCAAATCTTTTCAATTAGCACGTCCCTTGACGTCTCCACCATTCCTCTGACCAGCCATTCATCTCTAATGAATGTGACGTCTTCATTATCCCGTTCGCCCTTGTTGTAGTCTGCTTGTCGCGACAATATGTCTGCCTTGCCTAGCATCTTCCCTGGCTTGTGCACCAGCGTGAAGTCAAACTCAGCTAAATCGAGCTGCCAATGAGCTTGTCGACAATTCAGCTTCTAAGGGGATCAGAAGTATGTCAGGTTCGCATGATCAGTCCACACTTCAAAGGGTTTCTTGGCTCCTTGAAGGTACTGCCACCATNTGCCAATGAGCTTGTCGACGATTCAGCTTCTGAGAGGATCGGAAGTATGTCAGGTTCGCATGATCAGTCCACACTTCAAAGGGCTTCTTGGCTCCTTGAAGGTACTGCCGCCATTCCTTGAGGGCTTGTACNTGCAAGCATCTCCTTGTCATAGATCTCATAATTGCGTTCAGCCTCTAGGAAAGTCGACGATCGATAGGCTATTACCTTCCACTTGTCATCTTGTCTTTGAAGGAGCACCCCTCCAGATGCAAAGCTCGACGCATCTGCCTCGACCCAGAAAGGACCTTCCTCGTTTGGTATAGCTAGAACTGGAGGACTACTCAACCGACTCTTCAACTCTTCAAATGCTCGTTGTTCTTCCTCTCCCCACTTCCATTCTACCTTGCCCGTCAGTGCAGTCAATGGTTTAACGACGGAGCTATAATCCTTTACGAAGCATCATAACCAATTTCCTAGTCCCAGGAATTATTGCAGTTCGTGAACATTTCGTGGGATTGGCCACTCCTGAACCGCTGTTGTCTTTTTCAGGTCCATTTGAACCTCGCCATTNCGTCAGTGCAGTCAATGGTTTAACGATGGAGCTATAATCCTTTACGAAGCGTCGTAACCAATTCCCTAGTCCTAGGAATTGTTGCAGTTCATAAACATTTTGTGGGATTGGCCATTCCTGAACCGCTGTTGTCTTTTTTGGGTCCATTCGAACCTCGCCATTACTGATGATGTGTCCGAGATACTTAACTGTATCAACCTCGAACTCACATTTGTGCGGCTTCAGGAAAAGTCTGTTTTAACGCAGGATCTCAAAGACTCATTTAGTGCGTTTGCGATATTCCTCCAAATCATTCGAGAAAATGAGGATGTCATCAAGGTAAATGATGACGATACCCTCATGAATCATTTCTCAAAAGATATCGTTCATGNAGTGCATTTGCAATGTTCCTCCAAATCATTTGAGAAAATGAGGATGTCATCGAGGTAAATGATGACGATACCCTCATGAATCATTTCTCGAAAGATATCATTCATGAAACCTTGGAATGTCGCCAGTGCATTGCATAATCCAAAAAACATGACCGTTGGTTTGAATAACCCTAAGTTCGTCCTAAACGCTGCCTTCCATTCATCGCCCTCGCGAATCCGAATGTTGTAATATCCCCAGCAAACGTCGAGCTTTGTGATGTATTTCACATCCTTGACCTTATCGATGAGCTCATTTATCAATGGCAATGGGTATTTGTTCTTAACCGNAAGCACTCCTCCAGATGCAAAGTCCAACGCATCTGCTTCGACCCGGAAAGGACCCTCCTCATTCGGGATGGCTAGAACCGGGGGACTACTCAACCGACCCTTCAACTCTTCGAATGCTTGTTGTTTCTCCTCTCCCCACTTCCATTCCACCTTACCCGTCAGCGTCGTCAGGGGTTTAACGACAGAGCTATAGTCCTTTACGAATTGCCGCAACCAATTCCCTAGTCCCAGGAATTGTTGCAGTTCATGAACGTTTCGCGGGATTGGCCACTCCTGAACCGCTGTTGTCTTTTTCGGGTCCATTCGAACCTTGCCATTACTGATGATGTGTCCGAGATACTTAACTGTATCAACCTCGAACTCACATTTCTGCGGCTTCAGGAAAAGTCCGTTTTGANTCCGAACCTCGCCATTACCGATGATGTGTCCGAGATACTTAACTGTATCAACCTTGAACTCACATTTCTGCAGCTTCAGAAAAAGTCTATTTTGATGCAGGATCTCAAAGACTCGTTTAGTGCGTTTGCGATGTTCCTCCAAATCATTCGAGAAAATGAGGATGTCATCGAGGTAAATGATGACGATACCCTCATGAATCATTTCTCGAAAGATATTGTTCATGAAACCTTGGAATGTCGCCGGCACATTGCATAATCCGAAAAACATGACCATTGGTTCGAATAACCCTAAGTTCGTCCTAAACGCCGCCTTCCATTCATTGCCCTCGCGAATCCAAATGTTGTAATATCCCCAGCGAATGTCGAGCTTCGTGATGTATTTCGCATCCTTGACCTTATCGATGAGCTCATTTATCAATGGCAACGGGTATTTGTTCTTAACCGTNAATAAGCCTAAATTCGTCCTAAACGCCGCCTTCCATTCATCGCCCTCGCAAATTGGAATGTTGTAATATCCCCAGCAAATGTCAAGCTTCGTGATGTATTTCACATCCTTGACCTTATTGATAAGCTCATTTATCAATGGCAATGGGTATTTGTTCTTAACCGTTCCTTCGTTAAGCTTTCGATAGTCTTGGATTGCTCGTAGGCTCCCATCTTCCTTCTTAATAAAGAAGAACAGAGATGCCATCAGGGATTTTGACTGTCAGATGCGTCCAGATGCTAGGTTCTCTTCAATGAATTCCTTCATTGCTTCTTGTTCTTTCGGTGACAATGGGTAAACCTTGCAATCACTAGGCTTAAAATCTGGTTTCAAGTCGATAGCATGGTCCCACGTTCGATGGTTTGGTAGGTGTTCAAACGATTCTTCACTAAAAACGTCCACGTATTCTTCCAGATAAGGTGGCCACTTCTCTGCCTCCTTCATCCGCACATTCCTCACAAATTCTTCGTCTATCTCCTTGCTCGGTAGTGACAACTCACATTCANCGTATTCTTCCAGATAAGGTGGCCACTTTGCCGCCTTCTTCATCCGCACATTCCTCACAAATTCTTCGTCTATCTCCTCGCTCGGTAGTGACAACTCATATTCGTCAGGNGGGGCAAGCTGCTTGTTGAGGTGGTGTTGGACGTTTCAATGGTGGCGGCGCTAGTTTCATGATCATTGAGCTGATCATCTTCCTCCGGTGTTCGGCCATCAGATCTCTGATCTGGCGCTCGACCCTGTCAACCTTGACTGCAGCCTTCTTGAATTCCTCATACGTTGTTGGCTCGTTAGGTAGGCGCATGATCCCTTCAACCACCTTCGGGTTTAGAGCCCTCTTGAGGCGACTCATCAGCCATTCGTCATGAGCCTCCGTAGCCAGTCTGGCATCTACTCGACAAATGTCAAACTTGTTGAAGAATTCATCTGCATTGAGATCGCCTTGATACATTGCATCGAGTCGTTCAAATGCTTTCTGAGAACGGGCTAGGTCGTCGAACGAGGTGTCAAGCTTCTTTAGGAAAGCATCCCAAGTGTCCTTGAATGCTATCCTACCATGTTCGTCAATTGCACCGCTTGTGTAGCTTTCCGCCCAGCTCGCAGCAGCACCACTCTTCATATATGACAGAGCGAACATGATCTTTGCTTTGCTCGTCCTAAACTTCGATTCTGACACATAAACATATAGGCGCAGCTTTCGTTTGAAGTCGACATATCCGTGCTCCCCGTCGAAGTCTTGGGGCTTGGCGACATGAACTTTGTTCGACTTCGATCCTTGGCCTGTGCCTTCTCCTGCTGCCTGGAGTGCTAGCGCGATCGCTGTAGCGAGGTCTGTTATCGATTCCTTCGACAGTGACATCTCTTGCTCTCCTTCTTCGTCCTCCTCTTCTTCGTCTGTTGGTACGAGTGGGGCAGGCTCTCGTGGTTCAGTGAAAGACAACAAAGGTGCTATGGGTGGGGCTGACATCTGGCCTGTCGATGTTGATGGCTCTGGTAATGAAGCCGTTGATCATGTGGGAGTAGGGGGTGCGGGATCGTCTACGTTACCCTCTTGTTTCGCTCTCCAATATTGGGACTTGTCCCCTCTGGTAGAGTACCACTTCTTTGCAGCCTCGTTCCACCAAGCAACGAAGGTTTGATCGCCCGACTTGACGATATACTGTCCTCGCGACGCGCTCCACCTAGTGTTTGTCAGGAGAGCTGCCCACTGATCATCAGTTAGATCCACCTTGATAGGCCGGGGGTGGAACGGGGATTGAGATGGTGTTTGGATGGGGCCGACTTCGAATGACCGGCTCGTCTTTGAAATTGATGACTAGTCGGAAGGCACCAAGGTAGATGATGAATGAGATGCTTGATGATAATTAGACTCTATGAGTCACTCAAGAGAACGTCTGATGCGAGTTCCATAGAAGAGTGATTCGGAGCACCACAATTGGAGGATTGATTGTTTCGGGAACTATCGGGACACGTCAAAGTCAGTCGGACCTTGACGGGCAAGATAGGGGTTGCTCGGATAAATCCGGGATGGGCGCAGTCATCGACTGTCGATGTGTCTCCTGCGTGGAGTAGCGACAAACGAGTGGTTAACCCACGGGTTCAAGAGTAGGTCTTTCTATTATGTTAGGCGGCGAGACTAACGGGCATCGATCTCGAGGTGGCCAACACAACAACAAACAACTGGCTAACACGAGTTGCCGGGCTATATGCACGCTAGGTCGCAGTGAAGGTAAGTAGAATTCAGCAAACTACTAATACAAGAGTAGATACCTATGTCACAGTGAAAGTAAGTAGAATAGAAAGACAAGGAACGAAAGAGTCAAACTATCTACTTATATAGACTTTGAGTGTGGGAAAGGTCTACTCTAATAGGAAGTCACATGACAAGGAATGAGATGATTAGTGAGCATGATAGAACATTGTGGAATGTTCTGGCAATTGGATGAATAAGCGCATAAGAAAAATAAAAGAAAAGAAAAAGAATATTAAAATGAATAATGATATAAGAAAAGAAAAGGAAAATGTTCGAGTCCTTACAAATATAGTAGACTTTGAAAGGCTAAGTTTTGCTACTACATTAATATTGGACCATCTATTAAGCTTGTACTTTAGGATATGGGCCCAGCAGATGGGCATAGTATAGCATATATAAGCAGAGAATACCAGGAGTGAGAACAATAGGTGGATAGATATACTAGAGGAGAGATATTAATAAGGAGGTACATATCTTTTAAACTTATANAAGTCCTTACAAATATAGTAGACTTTGAAAGGCTAAGTTTTGCTACTACATTAATATTGGACCATCTATTAAGCTTGTACTTTAGGATATAGGCCCAGCAGATGGGCATAGTATAGCATATATAAGCAGAGAATACCAGAGGTGAGAACAATAGGTGGATAGATATACTAGAGGAGAGATATTAATAAGGAGGTACATATCTTTTAAACTTATATGCTGCATGCAAAAGTACTGCACCCTCATCCCTTTCTTATTGTCACAAGTTCCAACCTATAGCTCTATAAACTAGCCTAAAATTTACATTATATATACATAAAAAGGCAAAGAATATTAAAACTCCTATGAACTATCTGATGGCTGAGGAGTATTATAGTTCTTGGGGGCTATTTAGTAAGGTTAAGATAAAAGGGTAGAAAGGGGATAACTTTGAATAAATACTAGAGTGGGACTGAAGTGTTAATCTGGGTCCCAGAGCAGTTTTGAAAGAAATGGAGGAAAATAAGATTGAAGGCTGCTGGATGTATGCAAGGAGTAGAGAGTTAGATCAAAGGAGATAAGCAAAGAAACAAAGCAGGAGAAGTTAAAGCAAGTGAGATCAGCAGTAGTGGTGCAAAGATAAATGATGTTCTCACAGGTAATCTCTCGATGAATTCAAACTCTAGAGGCAGTTGTGCATCCTTGGAGGCTGCCTGCTTCATATAGTAGTTCTCCTCTGTGTATTTAAGAATGCTATAGAAGGTACAAGTAATACTTTGAGAGGAGATAGGCTTTACAGCACTATTAGTAAATATAAACATAGTCTAAGGTTAAAGCTGAATGTGCTCTTAATAGTTCTGCTACTCTTGGGCAAATGCTTTCTTGAGATTATTTTACTTGAATTTCTTTATAAGGAGCTCTATAGAGCAAAAAGAGNGCTCTTGGGCAAATGCTTTCTTGAGATTATTTTACTTGAATTTCTTTATAAGGAGCTCTATAGAGCAAAAAGAGGCAGAAAAAACATGAATCAGATATGCATATGCAAGCTTATTCTCAAACTTCTTAAGTTTGAGAGTGCTAAAATGAGTGCTTCTGATCTTGTGCAATGCCAGCTCAATCCTGCTCACTAGATTAGTAAGGGACTTATTTTTCTTCTTAGTGATATTGAAGAACTTATTATAGACATTAAAGTATACAGCTAGGTTGTCCTGCTCATTAATCTTCTAAAGCTTAGTTTATATCTTAACTGGATTATCCATATAGTCCTGCATTATAACCTACATGCTATGCTCAAGTCTCTGATAGATTAGGCCTACAGCTTGCTCAGCCTTCTCTTCTCAGAGCTGGACAGCCTCTGCTGGAGCACTAGGCTTAACTTTCTGACCAGAGGTCAGATATCACAACTTCTTGACTTGAAGTACAGCATATATATCATGCTTTTAGATAGAGTAATTACTGTTATTAAACTTAGTGATGGTAAATAGTATCTCAGAGGTTGCAAGTTCAGACATGATAATGAGAATGAGATGTGGATGAGAGTAGACAGATGATATGCTCAAAAGAAAAGAAGCAGTGAGGAGAGGGGAGTAGTGAGAGAGAGAGCACTAACAAATTTATGTCTGAAGGTGATAGATCAATGCCAATCAGTGCAGTTTTCTACAGTCACTGAAGTATACATAGATTTACTATAAGATAGTGCTGGTCTGTTGATCTGCTAAGACTCTACAAGCACTGCTGACTGAGAGAGGCTCTAGGCTTAAGTAAATACTCAGAGAGTGACTACAACTAGTGAACTAAGGCCAGGCAGGCAAGCTTCACAGTCTGTAGGCTAGGCTGATCTAACAATGATGGAGCTATACACTAATTAATACTAGAGCTACCAGATACAAAATGTAGTGTGGAGAGGAAATGGATAGGTGCAATAGTGCACAAATAGGCATGCAGATAAAGGGGAATGAGCCAAATCAAATGGTGTAAAGAGAATGTAGATTGGATCAGCAGATTAATAGCAATCAATAATTTCTATTAGTATAAGAACAGCTCACAGCACAGTTAAACTATAGCCAATCAAGCTGAAAGTTGGTGAAAGTATACACAGTTATAGGAGCTATATGCATACTAAAGGGCGTCCGGATTAGATTAGCGGTTGTTGAGAAAANAAAAGTATACACAGTTATAGGAGCTATATGCATACTAAAGGGCGTCCGGATTAGATTAGCGGTTGTTGAGAAAATTAAAAGTTGCCAAAATAAAATATAAAACAAAGATCCTTCAATAAGTCGGCGAGTTCTTGACTGATTTGGCTGAAACTTTGCAACAGAGAACGCAAAAATAGGTCAAATAGACATGCCAAGTTTCGTAAGAAACAGATTAGTGGTTTGCCTAGAATAGGTAATGCAACTTTGAAAATAGCCAAAAGTGATAGGGCTATAGCAGTGTTAAATCATCATGGATTACAGCTAGTTGCAAAATTGTTGGCAATCATGTG